GGCTAGTCGGCAGCCAGGCAGAGCGAGCGGCGCGCCGACCGCACGAGCACCGCCTGTCAGTCAATACGCAATGAATGAGCGAATTGAGTGCTAGTTGATGGCCCACCGCACGGACACCGCCTGGAAGAGCCACGCGAAGCATCCCTCCTCCCCAAGCGCCTCTGGAGGCAGCAAGCCAAGCTGGCACAGCTCTCGCCTCGAGATGTGTTGTGTGGGTCCCCCCCCCCCCCCCCCCGCCACACACACTTCCCTCCTGGCTGGCTACATCGTGGGTGTGCATCTCCCACACCCCCGGGCCCCGCCGCGCCTGCGACTTGAAGATGCCTCCGGCCAGAGCGCCCGCGCCCATCACGTTGAGCATGTCGTCCTCGCCGCGAAAGTTGAAGGCGAGGGTCTCGAAGGTGGAGAACATCATGCCGAGGCAGCCGACCGAGTTGCCCAGCCCCGGCCCGTGCTTGCCCGTCGCGTTAAGCACCGCATTGATCCGGATCCGCTGCCGCTCACCCGTAGACGATTTGAGGCCCTCGTACAGGCCCCAACTGCCGCCCGCCACCAGCCCTGACGCGGCGGCGCGGTGCGCTGAGCGGGCGAGGCGGGGCGGCGGCGGCGGCGAGTGCACTGCGAGAGGGCGATCGAAGGCGACAGAGGGCGCAGCCGCTCGCGTGGGATGGGTGGGCCGCACCGACGAGGTAGCCAACACCGATGTGGTAGGTCAGGCGGTCGCCCCACGACCGGCGGTACATGGCATCCGCCGTCTCCTCAAACAGGAAGTCCGGCTGTTGCAGCGGCGCGGCGCCAGGCGCCGGCGTGGTCCAGGCGGAGCCAAACGCTGGGCCCAGCTTCCCGAACTCGACGCTGCTCTGCGAGGCGGCGTCCGCACTAGCGTAAGGGTCCTGCATGCGTCCCCTTCTCGACTCCGCGATCCTCGACCAAGAATTTTTTGCGCGATATCTGACCGAAGGTCCTCTTCAGTGTGGAAGAAGCGACAAGGGAAAGAACGACGAGAAGGGGGCGACCACGTGGCATGAAGGTCGCAGCGAGAATCGGCGAGAGACTGTGAAGGCGTAAGGACAACCCGGACCCAAGACGCACAAGCTTTGTTATTATTGTTAGTTAGTTAGGAAGGTTGTGGGTGGACGCGAGAAGCTTGAGAGCCCTTCCCGAAAAAGCGCGCGCGCCGCGAAGGCACTCGGAACACTGAACGACCACCCCCATTCATGCTCCCTCTCCTCTCGCCCGTCGCCGCCTCGCTTTGGAGACGCCCAACAACATCATGCCCGCCTCCCTCGACGGCACGCCTCTCCCGCTCAACCACCCACCGCTGCGCTCTCGTCCGCCGGCGGACGCGGCGAGTGTGGACTGGCACGCCGTCAAGAGCGACCTGCTCGACCTCTTCTCGCGCTCTCAGTCCGTCTGGCCGGCGGACTACGGCACCTACGCTCCCTTTTTTGTGCGCCTCGCTTGGCACAATAGTGGCAGCTACCGCGTCGCCGATGGGCGCGGCGGCGCCGAGGGCGGCCGGCAGCGCTTCGACCCTGAGCGCTCTTGGCAGGACAACACCAATTT